CAGGGATACTTTCTACATGACAACAAAAGATCCTGCACAGGTAAGAGCCACGCAGACCTGAGCTCAAGAGACGAGCTCAACTGAGCTTAATCACAGCCAGTCAAAACCTGTGAAATGAGGTGTAGTGTTAAGAGCTCAGCACACAGCGTTCGACTGTGTATTCATCTCTGTGAATATAGTGTGCAGTGTAGAGTAAATACCGTTGTTCAGCTCCTCACTACCAGACACAGCACAGCAGATATCGATGGCAATAAAGCAAATGTTCATTAGTTTGCATTGAGCTCTGTTTGAGGCACAACATATTTTAATTCCACCACATTTGTTGATAGTATAACTATAATGGCCAAATCTTTCAGTCGGCACAGTTAGTCGATGTGGCATTAAGGTGTTAATAAAAACGATCAACATACAAAATGTCGCTCGTTTGAGACTTTTCAAGAAGGGTGGATGAAAATGAGATCACATTACTGTGTCGTAAACTTGTAGCTACGCCTAATTATTGTAAGAAAAAGCCATTTGTATTTCAAAATGATCTCAATATTTCACAGTACTGCAGAACAAATTTTCAAAAAGCAATTTTCCGACATTTCACACTGGGCACACAGTTGATAGTGTCCTAGATTGGATTTCACTCCATCATGGCTTGGCCTGTGCTGACTAATTTCAGACTGAAAAGGCACACTGATGCATAAAGTAGTTGATCTTTGCCAGCTGGTGTAAAGCAAGGTTAATTACTGTCGATTCCTAAGGGAAAAGCAACTTCAAAATGACATTAAAAATTGATACCTGTGTGCACTGTTAATAGTGTACTGACACTGGGTAATTTATCACAATTACCAGTTGATGTGCCTTAAATTATTATTCTTTGCCAGAGGAAAAGGGTGACAAAACAAATCACGCAATGAATAGGAAAAAAATGATTATCTGCCTACAGATTGTACTAATTATATGAATTACAGCAACTCAGCCTCTTTGCAATACTCATTTGTTTTTGTCTGTAACAACATCTGCACACTCGCCGGGGCAATAATGCAAACCTAAATGAATCCCATCATTTACGATGCCAGGAAATGTCTCAATTGACATGAAAAAAAGAAAAATCTTCTTCTAATCAAGCGGCTTTTTCATAGCCACGACTGTGTAACTCATAAAGCAGTCGCAGGTGGATCATAACACTTTATCATTTTTCAAATTAACATGCATGAGATGCAAAGATTTGAGCAGTGAAGAGTGGATGACATTTTTGGAATGTGCCCCAAAATGACCACTTTTAATAGACATTTCAATGAGTGTGTGAGTCCTCCTGCTCACAGTGCCATGCCACAGCCAGGTGTTGACCTCGCCATCGGGGGTTCTGACCAGTTCGGGTTACCCAAAACCCTACCCGCCCATGAGTCAGTGTAATCACACTATATCTCTGTCGGAGGGCTACAGAATAATCCTGGACTTCCTGGAACCTTTCGACATAGAGGGACACCCAGACGTCCCCTGTCCGTACGATATGTTGAAGGTTAGTCGTGTGAGTTCAGAATCCACCTCACACACACACACACACACACACACGAGAGAGATGATGAATAAGCAATGTATTCCTCCTCATGCTTGTGGAGGTAGTCTATCACTGACTTGTCCTCCTTGGGTGATATACTGTTTGGCCATACGGCCTCCTGCATATTTAAGTTTGGCTGGACATCAATCAGTCAGGCATTTAATGAATCAACGTCCCTGTTCCTTATTTGGTGTTCCTCTTTTTCTAGATATCAACAGCTGGACAAGAGTACGGACCCTTCTGTGGATCAACTGCACCCGCCCGCATTGACACAGGGAGTTACCAAGTGCATGTTAGATTCAGATCTGACGCTAGCGGGAAAAACAAGGGATGGAAGATCAAGTACACCAGTACAAAGGCAGAATCGCTCACTTTGACTTAAGACTGACGTGACCTGACATTATCTTAATGAATCCTTGTTATGACGTTATGACAACTGTGCTACAAAGATACCCTCCACATTTCACGCAATGCAAACAATTATTCTGCTCCGGTCCAGCTGAAGACTGAGGTGCATTTTAACGGCAGATACAATAAATGAATTCAGTTTAAAGTATTCTGGATGTGAGTCGGTCTCGTCTAAGACGCGGTGAATGCTCGCCGTTTAACCTTCATACATAATTCAGCTTGTTCTGAGCAATCCCGGATCTACTCCTCTATCAAAACAGTCATTATAGGGTTCTTCAATCCCATGAAATTGCTTCTCATTTGACACTTCTCCATCTGTGTCCCACAAGTGGGGCAAAAGAACAAGCCTGATGTGAGAAAGAAATTTACTTGTGTTGATTTATTTTTACTGTTCCTGTCACTCCAGGGTGTGATTTTTTTTTTTTTTTCTTATTGACCCTTGGAATCACAGTGGGCCAACACTTCTGTCCTGTGACTGTACAATGACAGTATGTTGTTCACTTTGACTGAACTGTTATGCTGCTACATACTTTGTAGTTTGAAGGCCACCGCAACTTGGCAAAGCGAGGTACTGACCCATATATCCCCTTGGCATTTGCAGCCCAACAGAATCCGTGGGTCCACAGTGGACATGTGCTCTCTGAAAGTCATCCGACCACGTGGGATAAGGCTTGTTTCCAGCATGAAATGTCCAGACAGTCCTCAGGGCAGTCGGGTGCTTACAGAGCAAACCTGCAGTTGTTAGCCGAGCACTGTTAACTCAAAATCTAATCCAGCAAGACGGTGTGACACATGATAGCAGAATCAACTGCTCCCGTACCACACTCACTTCTTACTGTTCAGCCTTGTTGGAGCCAATTCCACAGGAATTACGCACACCATGAAACCCATTAAGCGACTGTTGGAAAATATCTCTCAGCAGCATGCAGCCAACAGGCTTATAGCTAATACGCCCTTCACTATTTTGTTGACAACACTGTATCTTGGGCATGAAGGCACTGTAATGTATGGGGGAAAAAAAGACATGTAAAGGAGGTGTTTTTGTCAGTGTTAATATTTCTTATCATGGTAGACCTTTCAGCAGTGAGTACTTCTGGGGATTTAGATTTACTTTCACAAAGAAGAGCATCTAGCTTTGAGCTCAAAACTGATGCTGTGTGTCACTACACCATGCTCAGCTTTCCAGTGAATCTTCAGAGGAAGGAGAGTCAAGAATACAGATTGTGCTGAATGCTCTTTTTTATGCACTTAGATACTGTATGAGTTTACACTCAAAATAAACACATGTAAAGTTTACCTTTGAGAAAAATGTAGGACAACAGCACCGTCCTAAGCTTGAGGGCTGCTTTATTTCAGAAAAACCCTCCTAGCACCATTCAACATGTGTATAAAAGGTACCTTAAATCACATACTGTACAGTCACATACAGCTTCTCTGTGTAACAATTGTCGTACCTGTTTAAATACAATATGTGAATGTGTTGGAGAACTTACAGTACAGTTCATACAGGGTTTAGTATAAAACAGCACTTTACTTTTTAAAGAAACTGCCTGACTGTACATCAAAACAATACTGAGCATATGGGATATCTATATGAATCCTCCACTTTTCTCTGATACATGTAGTTGTAAAGTACAAACCGGTAATGACATCTCAAATCTCACCACAGCACGAAGAGATGAATCCTTACGCAAATTCAAATCCACCATCATTTTGTGTTCATTGTTCAAGAGACAGGTGATGAGATGACAGGCATGACAAAGGCTATCTTCTACATAACCTATGAGTCACACAGACCCGCACATGTTGTCCACGCCGTCACATATCACACAGCCACTAGACTGGTACATAACTTCCACAATGGTGTATAATTGATACTCTTAAAGAGCACTCGTCCAGAAATATTGGTTCTGCGCAATTCGAAGATGAAGCTTTGTCATTCTTACCCACAATGCCAGCCATAATGTGCTCAGTGAGGCTTGCGTGTATGTGACACACATCTTATCTTGTCTTACTCTATTGTAGGAATAATAAATTAAGTCTGTGTGACCTACTCAAATTAGCTTTTACACAAATATATTTGCTCGATGTCAGCATTTGCATATATCTCAGAGAAAACGCCACTCTCAGTATGATCCTGCTCACAGTCTCTGTCAGCGCTCCCTGTCATTCTAATATAGTGCTGTGCAAGTTACTTTGGTATTGTGTCTTGTGCGAGGAGTTCATACTCATCGTTTTATGGCATTTTCTACTATTCATTCTTCCGTGTGCAGACTCCGCTAATGGTTACAGGTCAGTGAATGATGACATTTCACACCAAGTAGCACATACATGAAGGCTGTGGTGCAAAATGCCTGTTCTCAAAACGCGTTTGTGATCTTAAGTTCGAAAATTGCTGAACTAGTAGACTTTAAAACTGATTGGAAAAAAAGGTAGACCTACGGGACCGTAGTGGGAACATAGCATAATAGTCTCTTTTTGCAGCGGTCACTGGGGAAGGCACAGGATCAGCCATGTTGCCAGCTGATTGAAATAAGAGCGCACTGCTACTCTAAACATCCCATCCCCTGTATTTAATATGTAAATCACATTTCAATGATGGCACATGTACAACACACAAAATATTTTGTTACTCTACTCGAGATTGACAGGGTTTCTCTGGATAGATATATTTCCTATCTGTAGTTAGCCAAAGGTTGTTAAAAAAGGAGTGCATAATTTGTCTTAGTTGTCAATGTTTAAGGAGGAACACAATGTAAACAATAATACTGCGAAGCTGAGTCAACAGTAACAGTTTATATAAAACCTCGAAACAATAGTTCCACATAAGGGGAAATACACTTTCTTGCTGAGAGGTAGATGGATTGTGTTAACAGAACCAGTGAGGCTTTTTCCCAGTTTCTACTTTTTATGCTAAGCTAGGGCGGCTGTCTGCTGCCTCCAGCTTCATATTGAACAGACAGACATGAGAGTGGTGTTGATCTTCTCATCTAACGCCCGGGACACACTGCTTGTGTTGCGTGTGCGTGACAGCTACTGTGGCTCGCACACCTCCAGCGTGTCTGCTGTGGCGCTGCTACTGCCGGCCCCGGCTTTCTACTTTGAGTTTGCTATGCATAATGGTCATCAATGATCGAATGTTTGATTTCTTTTCCTTATAAACCTCACTAACTAACACTTTTGTAAAGACGCACACACACACTCGCAGAGAGTAAGAGAGAACGCACTGGAAATCTACTGCCCTTCACCTCTTAAATTATTGACATAATATAATTAAAGCCTATGTTGGGTTTCTGCTATGACGATATAACACATGTTGCCTCCACTGTCTCCACATGCAATTACTAAAATGGTTAAAAAATATAATATTGATATTTTTTTCATGTCTGTGTCATATTCAGATTCAGTCTAGACAATGAAACTATAGTGGAAGGTGTCAGTTTAATGTAATGCTGCTGGTATAATGTCAACATGTCAACATGAACAAATCTTTTCCCTTTCTATTTTTTCAGGGAAAACATGCATCACATGGGAAAAATAGGCAAGACGCCAAAACTGTAGATGATGCGCCGCAGCCGCGAGGCTCGAGCTTTAATCTGTTAACATGGGCGCCGAAATGAAAACCAAGATGTTCCGCGACCGTCATGCACATATAACACGGGCAGTGTGTCCCGAGCCTTACTGTCAGCAAGAAAAATAACTTCCCAAAATGTCAAACTATTGCTTTAAGTTTTCACATGGATATGTTTATATTTATCTGTGTTTATTTTCACAGCATGGCGCTCAATCAAAATTAGGAGCCAATAGAAAGTCGAGGCCAGTGGTTAATGCCAATATGTTTTTGATAAACATGACTTGTGCAAATCACTTTGCCTCCTCTTGAGGCAAAAGCATTCGAGTGGTTTGCAAGTTTTACAAAAATGATGCAAACATCAACATCATTAGCATTCATGGATTCCAGCATTATGGGTATTATCAGTAACACGGGGTAAATCCCATTCTACTGACCCTGAGGCAGGTAGTGTGAATTCTTATCAGTCTCTGCTCAGGTGAAGAATCAGCCTAGTTGCTGTCTTGGGCTGGTGTTTCTTTGCCCTCCTGCTGGCTGCTGTTCAGCTGTGTGTTGCTCCTGATGGACTGCACGGCCTGAACCTGCTGGAGACGTCTGGTCAGCTCGGTTTCGCAGGCCTGCAGCAGCGCTGACGTCCTCGTTCTGTCCCAGCCCAGCACCTGCTCCATAGCTTCAACCCCTCTGGTCACGACCATCTAAAGAAACATGGAAGAGCCTTCATTTCAAGCACTAGAAATGTGAGGAAGTTAGATTTTATACTGATTTATCATTTCTGAACACACATGTACAAACTAATGCAATTCAGTCACACCCTGTAATAAGTCCTATCCTTTATTGTGAAGATTATAATGTTCAGTTTTTGTTGACAACGTGTCAGTTAGGAGTTGATTTGAGTATTTTTTTAGCTAAAGTAAATCATACAACACCAGTTTATCACTATTAAAGTATGGATGTGTTGTGTCAGGACTTGCAGTTTTAGGTAACTGCATAATCTTTTTATAGCTGCTTATTAGACTGGATAGGGTGTGATAAACATAAGCCAGAAGTGTCAGAAGCAATGTTACAGGAATATGATGAACCCTAACCCTACATTGTTGGGACATTGTTGGCACCTTGATTTCTCAGCTCCGTCTAAAATCTATTGTATCAGCTTCAGTGGAGTACCTGCAGATCGTGAGTGGAGAGCCTGGTCTCTGGGCTTGTTTTTCCTTTCAAGACCATCAGCGTCCTGGGCATGAATCCAGATGCAGAGTCCACTTCCACGCCATCCGGCATATCCACGTCTCCAGCCCCTGACACATTGAAACAGGTTCTGTCTCAGGATCATTTGTTGTATAAAAAGGTATTAGTTCTAGTAAATCACTGAAGAGGTGGGATAATACAGCAGGGACAACGGTTCCACCTAGTGACCAAAATGCACAAGCACACATCTTCCCTTATGCGCCATCTACTGTAAATACTATAAACCGGCAAAGGGAAAACACTGATACCAGTTTTGTCAGTAAATGTTGGAAGTGAAATGTATAAGACAAACAACATGTTAAAACTAATATCAATATACTAATATACAGCTGATTTCACCACATGTATTTTTAGCATCGTGGCGACAATATGCTTTCTCACTTTGCACATACAAAAGCTCAGGGGTGTATATGAATATGCATGTATTAAAATGATGATCTACTGAATACAAATAGTGTTATTAGTTATTAAATAAAAATACATAAAAAGATATTTATCAAGAAGTATTTTCAGATTTCACGGTTCCTAAGGATTTCTTCTTGTGCCAGTCCTGCATGTATGCTGAGGTTTTGTTGCAGACAAAGAACAAGCAGTTTATGGGTCATTACCTTCCTGCAGGGCTACACAATCATGGCATTATATTGATTATTTAGTTGAATGTTGAACTCAGGCTTATTGACCACAGCTATTCATTTGAAATTGTTTTTTTAGGACAGAGGAAGATATACAAGCACCTCTGGCATTTAAAACCCACAGATTTATATTGTTTTTACAGCAAATATTCTATATAAGAAAATCAATTTTATATTAAACTAATTTAACTCTCTTACATAGCACTTTTATGTCATCAGCAGGCTGTTAGAGAGAGACAGATTTGCAGAGGCAATAATCCATAAGTGATATGTCTATGACTTTTGCTGTCAGATCCTCTCTTTGATCTGACTGACACTGACATACAAAAACTAAAATACCTTTCTAACCAAGGAGTAGCAACTTATCACATACTTTATATTGTGTCAGAAAACCACAGTATAAACTATGAAACCTCTTTAGAGTGCAAGTCAAGAATAAAATGTCCCAGACCTTTATTTAGGATAACCGTTTCCACATAATGACACAGCCATACCTCCCTGGCTGGGCTGACTTGGCTCTTCCTGCTGTCTGTCCTCTTTCTCCACAGCTTTGAGGTAGAGCTGGAGCAACTCCTTGGACTGCCTCTCTTCCTCTCTTCGGTCCAAAACCCTCTGCAGTGTCTCCTGAAGGTCCTCAGCCTTCTTCTCTTGGAAGCCCAGAGCAGAGGCTAGCTCGGAGCACGGGGCATCTACTAAGGTCTGCAACAGCAGGTGATACAAATTGTACTTAAAGCAATATTATACTGTTAACATTTAGGCGACTATGTCTGTGTTGTTGCTGTGTGTGTTGTGCTTCAAAGTCACAGCAACTAAAAATAATGGAACAAAAGAAGTAAAAATTAACAGTTGCAGTGTTTAGTCTTTCCATTTGTTGACAGTAGGAAAACTATAGAATAGTATATATACATATAGCCATTAGCTAAATAGCCTTTAAATGGAAAAAATATTAAAAAGCTGATGGTGACAACAGGAGAAAGTGGAATTCAAGTAATACTATTTCCTTATTGTTTTCTTACCTGTGCACGCTGTGTCAAGCATGACAGCATACTGTTGGTGAAATAGAGGAATAATGTTGGTACCTGTAACTCTGCCTCAGACATGAGAATGATGCTGGCCAGGTCCTGTTTTAGTTGCTGGGCCAGGTCCCACCAGGGTGCCACAGCACTGGAAGTGTCCACAACATCAGCTTCCAGCAGCACAGACTCCCTGGCCATCCAGGCTGTGCCACCATCAACTATAATGAAAAGTAAATGAGTACCAAAACACAAGGCTGGGCATTTCACTGTTAAATGATGAGAATCACTGCAGACAGAAGTAAACCTACTTACGCCTGCGAACTGGAGACCATGACTCTTTTTCATGCAACAGCATGAACTTTGTGTTTAAGGGTAAACATAAAAAGTAGGCCTGATCCTCTACTATCGTCCCATCATCCTCTAGGACCACTGTGACCTGGTCACTGGGGCTCAACCCAAGGAACTCACACCCTGTGGGAAGAAAAGAGAAATGACAGACTTTACATCGTATCGTATCGTATATGAATGCCACACCACCAGATCATCAGCAAAGACCAATGACTTCTGCACTTCAAATAAGTTATGTCCATTTAAGTTGTCACCTCCTCTTCCATCACAGCTGTTCTTATTTCTCATCCACTACACTGCTATTGAGTGGCTGTGCTGCTCCGGCCCTCTGCCACTCTAACCATAGGCTTTCCTTTTACAGTTATGTATACTTTAATAAATCCATATTTCACTTGTGTGGTTGGTGGGTTTGCCTCTTGTACATTCGTTTGTGTCCCTCAGTGAATCTTTTATGTAATGAGTGTATTTTTTTTAATTCACATGTAAAGCATCAAGAAGAGCAGAATCACAAAATACTAATGAAACCTGCAGTGATTTCATGGTTCCAACTGCACAACCACTTTGGTTGTTTTAATCACCACCAGACTAAAAATGCCTGCACTCTTTGTATTTTACTGTATTTATGTTATTCATATTCTGTCTGAAACTGCTTTAAAGGGAAGGTGCATTATTCATTAAACACCTGTAACAACACATTTGATTTATACTGAGGTTAAAAATATGAATTTACTAATGGAAGTTTTTCAAATGACACCAGGAATTGTGTGATGACCAGTGACCAAGACTTCAGCAGGATCAAAAATCTATATTTCCAAGATGTTGGATGGTTTGAGAGAATGATGACACAAACCTGTAGTCATAGTCCTAGAAGACCGAAGACCACCACTGCTTCAATCTAAAACAAAAGCTGTATCTACACCTCTACTGGGCAGACACCTTGAAAAATGCAGTGATCTGGGCAACGCCTTCTGACTAGTATTTTAGGAATGAGCAGGACAGGGGGCAGGTCTTATCTGACTTTTCATGTTTGGACACGATGAAAATGTTGCTACACAGCGCGTTAGCAATCAAGACAGATAAGTAAGCTCAAAGTGTGAAGCAAAATCATATTGGTGCTGAAGATCACTGCATGTACATCCTAATGACTGTGTTTCAGTTTCACATTATAGCCTACAACTACAGCTTTAGTATGACACACACCGATGTTAACTAACATCACTGCTAAATACAGCAACTACATGAGACTACATGAGACTGCATTTCACTTCATTGTCGGATTTCTCTGACTTTTATCCTGAACATACATAATACATCCACACGTTTACAAGTTGTAGCCAATCTGACTACTCACCTTTTATCTTCAGCTCATCCAGGGAGGGAACTACCAACCCATATGATTTCTGTCGTGTGAAATTACACACCTTACACGGTTTCCTGTCCGTCATTCTATGCGTTATGTAGACAAACGTATTTCTCCTTTTTCTCTTATCTTTACACTGACAAATACCGACAGCAGTTCCCGACCACTATCTCAGCTCTGGCAGATTCGAACACGGAACCGCTGCTTTGGCGCAATGGATTCTGGGATATGTAGTTTTGTATGTTAGAACACTAAGATGAGAAAAAGCGGCAAAGGGACAACAAAATAGCACGACTTGCAATAGTAATATACAGTTTGTGTTTCCAAATAACTAACTAGCTAGATAATTAGCACTAAGTTAGTTAGTAAATTCAAATGAAGCTTATGGAAGATTTTTAAGATGCAATAACACTAATGTGACTCCAAATGGTCTCACTTGAAAAGCATCTGTCAACCTAGAGACACAATTTTCTCGCAAGTCTTTATGGTCTTTAATATCTACTTTTACTATTTTTAATGTGTCACTTGAAGGTGACTTTGAAAATGAATATACCACTAATAACTTATGACAGCAGGGCTGTCGAAAGGACAAAGTGGACGAGTGCCCGAGGGCCCCAGGATCTCAGGGACCCCTGATCATTAGGAGTCTCTCTTCTATTCAGTGGTAGAAGTACTGCTTTACTTGAAAGTACCAATATGACAATGTAAAACACTCTTCACATTCCAAGTAAAAGTCCCATATTCCAATTCTACTTAAGCAAAAGTACAGAGGTATTCTCAGCTAAATATAATTAAAGGTACTCTCTCTACAGAATGATGCCTGTGGCTGATATGTTATAAGAACTAAATAACTACATCATAATAATCAACAATTATAATAATATAATTGTTAACACGATACAATGTGGCATCAGTGTTTAAGCAGCATTTTACTGTTGTGTAAAGGTGTAGCTAGTATTTCAAACATATTAGTCCAATGGTCCCCATGCCTAGGGGTCAGGCATGCCATGCAAAGGATGACCAGATGAGTAATGAGATGATAAATGGGAGAAGAAAGAAGAAAAACGAATTTCTAATACACAAATTTGACGTTTTTTCCCCATATAATTCATACGAATTAAAATTCATGCTTTTTTGTGAAATAGGAGTGTAAAACCTCTCTGGGCCTCAATAAATCCTATCAGAAGTTTAGAGGGGAATTTTCTTATCTTTTTCAAATCTAAACAATGCACTTTGTTTTATAAACATATTATTTGTGTTTTTATGTAAATTGTCATATGAAAAGTAACTAGATGTCTGATAAATGTGCTGGACTACAAAGTACAACATTTTCCTCTGAAATGTAGTGCAGTTTCTGTTGTTTGGACTTAATTTGTGTATGAAAATGTAGCCCTGGAGCACAATGTTATCTGAAACATTAATTAATCAATATAGTTTTACTAATTCTGTTTATGTTTGTGTTAAGTTTATTGTTTTTATTATTATTGTATTATTATTGTAAAGACTTTTACCAGTTCAGTTGATGTTGTGCTTGCATGTTACTTGTAAGCACAAGGGGCTCCAGGTAAATTCCTGATTGAGCTTGCATGTGAACTGCGCTGTGTTCAGTGCATAGGTTCAGTGTAGTTAATAAGTAGTGACATTTTGTGAATATAGACTGTCGTTACTCTTCAGGAGAAGCAATCGAGTGTAGTTCACTCGAGCAGCCTCTGAAACAAACGAGGAATAGGAAGATGGCATCCACTGAGCAACCTGATCCACCAACACAGGTCTACATTTATGCAACTAAAACATTTACCTCTTGGTGTCCAGATGCGACAGTGAACTCTTACAATGTGTTTATATTTCGTGACCCCTGAATGCCACCATTTTTTGTTAGTTACTTTTATAACTATTCAGTTAGCTCAGGTTAGCATGCTTGCTAGCTAGCATGCTAGCTAGCTCCTGTAGCGTTTCAAAAGTTGCCTCTCAGACATGTTTGTGTTGATAAGTGGGCACGAAGGGCCGAGCTGACGTTCTTGTGCTTTACCATATGTTGTCAAAACCCATTTGGCTTGCGTACCTAGTCGACTAGCTATTTACCCTGACCGAATATACGTCCTTCCACTTGCCCATAACGTCTTGTCTCTGTCTTATTATGTGCAGTTAATGACATGATGTGAAAAGGTCACTGTTAGCCTGACAAGCCTGGCGGTTTGTATTCGGCTCTTTGCTAACGCTGTGTCGGTTTAAGTTGCTGACAAGCATTGATCATTCTGAGAAAACAAATGCTAAGGAAAGTTGTGAGTCATACACCTCGCCAGGTGCAGCTTTGCACTTTGCTGCTTCATTTACAATGTATACTTTCAGCAAGCATGTATACCATGGGCTGTGCAAAGTTCAGAACTGAAGCATTCAAATCCCAATTAATCACCAAGTGAATGAGCAACAGATATCTACCCCAAAAATATCTAGATCTTTTCTTATTATATACATGTATCCAGTTCAAGTCTCACTGTTAATACTCAGCATTATATGAGGCATAAGAAGGTTAGTAAATGTAATGCAAATAGCTGATTTTACGTTGTTCTCCTCATTTACATAATTAGATTTTAAGTACATAAGGTCAAGGAATTTCTAAAGTTAAGTGACAGATGTTACTATCCTCTTCTCCTGCTAGACTGTCATGTTGTTAGGTGTTTGAGGCTTTAAAGTACATGATGTTAAAGATGTTCATGTTTGTATTTCTATCTTGCAGTTAGTCTTCAGTTAATTAAGCAGCATTAAGATTCTGAGATAGATAGATAGATAGATAGATAGATAGATAGATAGATATGCCCACTGTAAATGTCATTCTAAACACTGCTGTGTGAAACCAGCAATACCCTCTGTCGTCCAGTAGATGGCACTCTAATACAAGTATTTGTTTATCTTGTCAGCCTGGCCTTCCACCTGGAGATAGTGCAACAGCTCCCCCCAGAGAAGCACTGGTAAGGATTCATTATTTAATACAAATTACTTGACTTAAGGCAATGTGGACTAAAAATCACAAAAAAAAATTGAAGTTTCCCATTTGATGTCAATGCATATTTGTTAGAGATGGCAGGCTACATCAAATGAGCCAATTTTGATTTAATCTCAAATAGTAAAGAAAACAGTGTTTTCTGTATACTGATCAGTGCCTCAGCTTCGATTGCATGTTTACCAGTAAAATCAGCAACCATTTCCCTTTTTTTTTTTTTTTTTGGAAAGAATGAAAGTCTGTATACTTTTGGTAATTGATGACACATAGTTGAGGAACTTGTGTTTTTTTTATGATCTTGTGACTTAAAGACATTTGTTTTCATCTTTTCATCAACAAACCACTTTTCCTTGGCTAATCAGATGATATTACACATTCCCCAGTGAGATCAAGTGTTAAACGCTTCCAATTAGCAGCCAGTCATTTAGCACCATGCTGATGTCCCCAAGCCCATAATGAGAGTGTATTTCATGTTCCTTGTCTTTGGAGAGAAAAAGCATGTAGAAAGTTCTATTTTAGCTGTGACAATGTTTCCACAGTTGCTTTAATCATGTTTAGTATAAAACTTTCACCACATACCTTTGTTGTCCTTAGTTTAGTCCACTGTTTTTCATCCACAACACAAATGGATCCAAGAAGTTTTTGAATTTGGTTCCTAATAGTTTGTCTTTGTCCCCAGAGAAGAGTATTTAAGAAAAATAGCCCTAAAAAAACTGCAAATACTAGTTGTTAATACTACCAAAGCTCGTAACATTTAAACAGAATAAACTTCTGTTGCTTTTCAATAATCTGTAAAGGAAAGTGTTTATAAGATGTGCCTGGCCCAAGTGATGACAACGATTATAACCAGTGCCTTATTGCTAAGTGGGATGGAATACATCACAGGTACATTCACTGTCCTTGTATGGACACAGCATCCAGGTTAGAGGAGTGCTGTGTTGTTCAGTCTACATGTCTCAATGTCATTCACCACCATTCACTCTTCATCCTCCCCCCATCATCCCTTCATGCCAAGGCTAATTTAATCCTGGGGTTATTGATTGTGGGAGCATTCTCCCAGGCTTTCTTTCAATTTACTTCAATTTCATCATCCCAGTGCGCTTCAAGACTGCCTCCTCAAAAAGGGAAGAAATTCTTGTTATGAGGGTCCTGATTCAAGACTGGTTGACAAGCCCCCCCCACCCCCCACTAGCACCACCTCACCACCACCACCACCACCCTCACTTCCAACCCCTTTTCTCCTTTCTCTTTTTGATGAGCTGCTCTTTCCCAGTTAAGTGGATTATTACAGTAGGGATAATTCTTGTCACATGGCATTATTTGGATGAGGTGAATAATTGAAATTTGTGTCTGAAAGGATTTTATCTGGATGAGAGGAAAGGGAGTGCTGGCAGGGTTGGGAGGGCAGAGACAGAGAGAGAGAGAGAGAGAGAGAGACAGAGAGACAGAGAAAGAGCACACACGTTTGTATAACATTTATGTGCACATGTGCGTATCAGGCTGGGGACACCAGTCATGTTAACAGGTTCTGACTCACCTCGCCCAGATCAGCAGGCCCTGGCACACTGTATGGTGTGGACTCTCCTCTGTGGCAGAGCCAAGCTTAGGGGGCAGTGCCACAGCCTCTGCCACTGACCAGGCCAGAGGTGCAGGTCTGAACCTGCAGTGTCTGTAGAGAGAAAAAATGTATGGGAGAGACTGTGTGTGTGACTGAGTGTGTGTTCCATGGCTGACTGGTATACCAGTCACTGCCAGCCGCTGCTGTTGCCTCTGGCGCTGCTCTTTGCTCGCCCTCACCCCGGCTTGCTTCTTCTTCGTCTGTAACCCCCTCCCCCTTCCACCTTCCACTGATCACTGCCATGGCCATTATCCCTGCCAGTCTCTTGCCGGTGTCTCCCTAGTCTTAGTGCTGTCTCCCTGCGGTGTTCCCCTGTGCTCACCTCTAGTTTTCCCCAATCACTCTGTCCACATTGCTTTCAAATAACACATTACTACGATAATTATATGTGAACAAAGTCCCTTTGATTACATAAAAAAACGGAGGCAGATCTGCATTATAGTTTCAAGTAATCCCATGTTCTGAACTTATTTGACTCTTATGAATGAAATGAAAAATTAATACCTGCAACCAGCAATTATTTTCATTATCAGTTAATCTGCTGATTATTTCCTTCATTAATCGATTCATTCTTTTGTCTATAAAATGTCAAATAATAATGAAAAATGGCCTTCGTAATTTGCCAAGTGAAACTATATGTAATATCTGATTGTGATTTTTGTCTTGTGCTCTAGGAGCTACATAAGAATCAGACTCGCTTATGACTGTGTGTCCAGTGTGTCCCTGATTTTATTTGAAGGTCCAGTGTATAAAAAAAGCTAACTGCTGCCACTCAGTGAGAAACTTTTAGCTATGATGTACGTGTATGAAGGCTCATGTGGGTGTGCAGCTGATTTACATTTAAGTACTGTCCCCTCACCAAATAGGATTCTTAGTCTTTTGGGTATCCCTGGTAATATTAAGCCTGTCCTTTAGTCTCTGCACACTGAAAAATCACAGGCCCCGAATGAAAAAGCATGTTATTGTGTGGGAATGCAAGTGTGTGGGTTATGTGTGCAGGAGGTGTATCTGTACCATTTGCACACCTCTGTGTGTGCATAAGGGCATACATAGTGTAAACGGAGTGTGTGTATGTGTTTAGGTTTGGGGGTTTTAATACAGCAGAGGGAGGGTGGTAATGGGAGGGGAAAAAGAATTGTAAGAAGAACATCCCCGGTCTCACAGCAACTTCAAAAGCTCCCCTTCCCCAGGATATTAAGCGACTGTGATGAAAAATTTAGCAAGCGTTAAATAAGCCGCTTTGAAGTGATCTGTTTTGGCTCTGCAGTCTCTGAATTTCCGTAGCCCCTCTGCAATAGCCATCATACAACGGGGGAGAGGGGGGGGGGAAGGAGGAACAGTATGTTAAGTGCAGGAGTTGTGGGGGACCTGGCTGGTTGGCAGAGGACGTGCCAGCAGTAATTGGTCCAGCCGGTGACATGAAGGCACTACTGCTGCTACTGTCCCCTTTTGTCTTTCTCTGGCTCTTTTTCTCCTCATTTTACCTCTCCCTCCCTGGCGGCTCTTCTGCGGAGCCCTGTGAGTCGCAGGCAGACAGATGTTGCTCATCTGTTAGCTCTGAAAAGAGATTTTTTTTTCTTCACTTTGTGGGTGTAACGCAAATGTAACACAGCGGTGATACCAGGAGGTCAGAGGTTACTCTTGGGTCTTGACTCAGTTATTTTTTGTCCTTAATGACTTTCCCCATGTGTTTCTGGAAAGATATGTCCTTTAAAACTGATCTGTCAGCTGTGTGTGTGTGTGTGTGTGTGTGCGTGTGTGTGTGTATGTGTGTGTGTGTGTTTCTTCAATGGATTATATAACTTAAGTAATTAAAAAAACTGAGTTACAATACATTTTAAGTGGTTTGAATATTTTTAGGTTTACACCACCATAAAGCAAAAATAACAAGTAGTTAATCTCATATTGGATCATTCATATTTCAATTCATTTCACATTCAACACTTTTAAAACCATTACTTTAATTTTTGAGGACTCCAGGTTTCAACACGCTCCAAATTAATTATTGGGGCAGAATAAGAAATGGGAGTCAGTAATGAGTCTGGTATGGTAACTCCATTCTGTCAAGAAACTAGGCTACCATTTAGTTAGTCAAGGGAACCTTCTCTGAGATTTTCCTTTTTTCCTCTTTGCTCATTACTTTAATTGTAATTGTAATCCTTTATTGGAGCTGTCTGCAGTAAAGGAGAGTTATGGTCCGAGTGGGGGCGCGAGCCATAGAGATATTTCATGATTATTGGAGAAGACGGTCACTAGGTGGCAGCCACTAGTTCGGCCTCGCTGTAATTACTGGGTGGGAAGTGATGGCGAGTAACTGTGTGTGTGTGTGTGTGTGTCTGTGTGCATGCGTGCAAGGGTGTGTGAAGAGAGATTTCTCAGATTCGATCACACTCCTTGAAAGAGAAAAGTCCAATAAATCTGTTCACCTGCCATCTCACAGTCAATAGATTCTGTATCCTGTCATGTTGACTGTAAACATGCTACATGCTCTGCACAAGCACAGAACAAAAGGCGCGTGTGGAAATCATCTGTCTTCATACTTTTGTGGTTCATTTCAAATAACTAAACTCATTTTGAATGTCGTCTGAAAACTGTATCTCACGGTGGGAACCAATGCAGAGTGCTGTAAGATGTGGAAAAGACATGGCATCACTTGTATTTTCCTTCATTTGCCCATAGATTTACATGTGAAACATTTGCACACCGCAGTTTGTTTCAGTGGTCGTGGTGAAGTTTTCTCTTTGAAAAGCGTAAAAGCTCATTTCTCTGTTTCTCAGCGCAACGTTCATTGTGTATCATGCGCTGTTTGTTTCGGTGGTTAATGATACAGGAAGAGCCCTCCATTTTATTGTTGCTGTGTTGCACTTTTTCCCCTCCTCGCCCAACCCGGCAGCCTGCCTCCTTAGAGGACTCTGTATGAATTCTCACTGTCATGTCCAAGGACGAGTGGCGCAGGGTCAGCTAATTGCTTTTATGATTATGATTTCACGTCAGATTTATTGTGCATGCTCGGAGCACATCTTCCAGGTCCTGCAGACGTTGCTGGCTTGGATGGGGAAAATGAGTTTACAGCTTCTGGCTGTGACTTCTTGTTTAAGTGCAGGTCACACTTTTTGACTCATTAGAGTTGAACGCAGGGGGTGAACCACACAGGCTTTTCCTGTAAAAGCTTCTGTTTTCTATGTCAGTAACTGTACTTGTTTTTCTCACATTTGGCCACAAAGAGCATTTCTTCACTTTGTCTTCAACATGTGCTAAAGTTTGGAGGTCATGAGTGAGGAATGACACAGACAAGGATTTTTGGTTTTTCTGTCGTTTGAACTTTTTATGAGCCATAAATCTCTCATCTT